ATACTTAGGGTGGCTTTGACACCTTAGCTCAGGGGTCTTCAAACTATGGCCCGTGGGCCACATGGGACCCGCCGAGGACATTTATCTTGCCCGCCGGGTGTTTTTGCCGCCTTAACTTGTTACGACTAGCAGTGACAAATACGGAACCGGACATTGACCATCTCATTAGCCAACAGCAGGCCCATAGTTCCCACTGAAATACTGGTAAGTTTGTTGATTTAACTTTACTTGTTCTTCATTTTAAATACTGTATTTGTTCCCGTTTTGTTTTTTCACTTCAAAATAAGGTATGTGCAGTGTGCATAGGAATTTGTTCATAGTTTTTTTTTTAAAACTATAGTCCGCCCCTTCAACAGTCTGAGGGACAGTGAACTGGTCCCCTGTTTTAAAAGTTTGAGGACCCCTGCCTTAGCCCCATGCAGAGGCCTTAAGAACGTTTAAGTCAGAAGTGAGTCTTATGATTGGCTTCAGATGGATTAAAACCACAATAATTCCTGTCCCTACACATTAGAATGAGAGAGGAAAATCACTGCTTTATGAAGATTCAAGTGGATTAGAATATGTGGCAGAAAATTGTTAATTTGCCAGCTCTTTAGAAGCTCGCTGCTCTGCTGCCACATAGCGTCCTGCCCTACCTCCCACCGTGCCTGAGAGTTAGTTGCTCCTGCATCCCCAACAGCTCCAGAAGTGTGTCCTCCGAAGCACGAGATCTGGTTCCTCCCCATGGAAGCCGCAGAGGCCCCAGCCGGATGCTGTGCTCTGTGCCACCTCCCCAGGAACCAGACAGCCTTAGAGTTACACAATGGTCTACGGACCCTGGCATGATGGCCACTTGACTCTTGAAGCTGAATTGGAGGCTAATTTAAATGTCACAAAGGTGTTTCTCATTGATTTCACTGTCTTAGAACCTGGGTGATTTCGGTTGTGTAAAAGCCAATAAGAAAAGGTCAGAATTGCTTTCACCTTTGAAAGAAATCATTTTCAGATGTGCCCTGCTGTGTCCTCTCCAGGACTTTTGCTGGAAGGATATAGCTCAGTCCTCTAGCATGGCTGTCAGTTAGGCTGGTCGGGTCTGAGGGAGGCTGTTTCGGGGAGACCGTCAGCGGGTGAGAGAAGCAGATGTCTCGCCTCTGCCCATGTCTCTGTTGTGAACTCTCTGAGCGTCTTGTTCTGGAGACTTAGCACAGACGTGCTCCTGTAGGAGTCCAGGCCCTGCCAGGGCTCCCAGAGCACCAGCAAGGACAGTTGGCTCAGCTTTCTGCCCTCCAGCAGCCTTTCCTTGGTGGCTGTGCATTGCATCTGAGGAAGTGTCAGGACTCAGCCGTTTTTGCAAGGTAGAACCCTGTTCCTTGCAGCAACCGCCTGGGCCCCTTGGGAGCCAAAAAGCTAAGTTCTCTCTTTTCTGGAAGTTGTCCACTCGAGAAGAACAAAATTAAGACGAGAGTGGAGTAGAAACCATTTGATTCAGATCCTGCTCAGCAGGAGTTCCTAAGCTGGAACACAAAGGTTGTATGCGTTTTCTGGAGAGACCACGGTTTTCATCAGATTCCCCAAAGGATCAGTGAGTCCTTCCTCCCTCCTTCTTTCATATCTCATTAAAAAACCTAAAGCCCACTATTCTGCTGCCCTCTTGGTGAGTTCTGTAATGGAAGCTTGGGTTGGGTGTCATTTCTTTCCTCAGCTTGTTTTTCCTCTCACTGTCCTTTCTTGATTCTCAAACCCTCTTTCCTTTGGCAGGATCGCTGCAGAGCAGAGCAGTAGATTGGCAAAATATAGGACACTACGGTAAAGATGAAGGGCGGACTCATCCCAGACACAGGGTCCCTGTGCCATCGTGCCCATCTTGTGCATGTCCATTATCTAGTTTTCAGCCCGCTGGTTCTTCCCCACCCTTCCCTAAGCCAAAACTGAGTCCTAGAGTCGTTTTCCAACTTGCTGAATGAGGTTGTGACTGGATCCAGGCAAGAGCTTCCTGAGTTAGCCCAGTTGAGGGGTAACTTGGCAGTGGAACAGCTTTGGCCTAATTTGACTTTGCCTAAGATTCATTCTCCCTTCTGTCCCATGGGGTACTTATTTTATAGACTACAGGCCTCTCTCTTTCTTTACAGAAGAGCTGAGGCTAAGACATATCCAAAATTCACTCAATGATGAGCCCATGGCAAATCCTGGCACACCTTGTCACTATTTCTAGGCCTCTTTAACACTGCCCTTGAGTTGGCCAAACAGTGTGGTTTGGTGAGACTAAATTATGAAGTCCAAGAGCCACAGAGCAAAGCCAGCATCAGAATCCAAGCCAGGCTCCTGCACTCGGAAGGGTTCAGGGCTCCTAACCATGCGATGGAACATTAGTCCCAGGATGGGGATGGATGTGGAGGCATGGTGGAGGGAGGGAGAGAAGGGTCTGGGGCTTCACTGGTCTGCTGCCCAAGACCAGGAGTGGGCAAAAGTGTTCTCTAAAGAGGCAGGTGGTATTTTAGGCTTTGCCAGCCTCACAGTCTCTTGGCACAACTACTCAACTCTGTCGCTATCATGTGAACACAGACATATACTGTAAACAAATGGGTGTGACTGTGTTCCAATAAAACTTTATTTTCCAAAACACGTGGTGGGCTGGATTTGGTCTGAGTGACCCTGTTCGCTGACCCTCACCTTAGACAAACAAAGGAAGAGAGGTATTTGAATTTTCAAGACATTTTCCCTCTTATCATTGGCCTTGGAGATTACTTCCCCCGCCAAAGTAGCAAAGCCATCCAATGTTTAATCCTCTGAAAATAGGAGAGAGCAATAAGCGTACAGAATTTAGCGCCTTTCCGTGGGGTTGAGCACAATTGGGTCACCTAGCCCTCAACACAGAAAGGAACTACATTTAGTTTGGTTTTGCTTTTTCAGGTTTAATTGAAGTATAATTTATATACAGTAACATTTGCCCTTTGTAGTGAACAGTCTTGTGAGTCTTGAAAACTTGATACAGTCATGTAGCCACCACCTCCGGCACAGTATGGACTATTGGAACACTCCAGAAAGTTCCCTGTGTCCTTTTTATGGTCCGTCCCTCTCTCCCTCCATTCCCTGACCATGCCCCTTCAGTTTTGCCCTAAATCATGGTTGCTCTATCTGATATGTGCTTTCAGAATGAGTCCTTTCTAAAGCTGAATAACTCAATTGGTTTTTTTTCATGATTTTAAAATAGTCCGCCCCCCCATCACCCCTAACTTACATTGTTTGAGAGAGAGGAAAGTCACTTGATGATTTGTAAATGTGGCACTTTCTGAGACTGGACTTAGTATTGTAAAGAGAAGCTCCTAATGGCTGCAGTCTGAGGGTAGACTGTGATTTGAGCCCACACAGGCCTGACTTTCCCTCTGACCTAGGGCTGTGGGCCACGGCCCTCAGCTGCTATTACCTCATACTCCTGCTATCCCTTCTGTACGCACATTTCTGAATGCACACGTTTTTAGTGTACCCAGGGGTCTCTGGACATTGGCAAGGAATTGGGAACACACGCTTGGCCCTCAGGACTAGTACTTTGCCTGTTCATGTCCCTTGGAACCATTTTATTAATTGGGTTGGAGCCTGCCATTCTGCACGATGACATCATCGTCACCTTGGTCCCTACTGCTGAGAGAAGCCACTGACTGAGGGGTGGCACGTGTGTGGCACCACTGTGTCTGCTTCCTGGGACTTGCCTAAATCAGTTACAGCGGCTGTAAATCAGCTAAATCAGTTACAGTTCAGCCCTTGTTGCACAGCGTCTGTCTAGATTGTCATTCTTGCTTCTTATGTTTAGGAGAGAGTGGGAATAGAGAGAGGTTCTACCCCCTTTAGCAGTGTTCTGTGAACTGAGTACCACTTTTGAGAATCCTTACGGGCCAGGTTTAGATGCCGGGTCTGACTTGGCAAGGACATGGCATGGCAGGAATAGGGTACAGGCTTCGGTAGGGAGCACGAGGGATGTTACCTGCAAGCTCCACTACGGCCACATGTTGGTGGCAGTTCTGGAATCTGGGAGGCTGGAGGCACACGCTTTTTACACTCTCTGCCCTGTCCGTCTAGCTGGAGTCTACAGCCTGTTGGGCCTTGCACAGTGAGAGGTGTGCCTGGAATTACCTCGTCTCCTTGTGTTTCCACGTGTCACTTTCCACTTAACATCCGGTTTGTCTCTTTGTGTTTAAGTTGCATTCAGCTTTCATTATAAACTGACTGTCTCTCATTCTTTTGTAAAGTGAGACAGGGCATAAGTAAATAGAACCAATAGATACATAATTATTCCCTTACAAGTGGAATCTCAGGGGTGTACCTTGGTGTCTCTGTTGGTCAGTTAGAATTGAAACTCACAGTAATTTTGTGTTTATCTGCATTTTCTTTCAGAACAGCACATTAGTTCCAGAAGAGGGATAGAAATTCTGAAAACGGGAATGAATGTCACAAAAAGGAGTCAAGAACAATTCACAGTGTACAAAGAGAAATGGAAAAAAGCTTTATTTAAAAAGAAAAAAGTCAAGATTGTGGTCATCCTTTTGCTTGTTGTTTTTCAGTTTCCTGTAAGCCCAGGTAGTCTCTGTTTGGCATGGTGCAAGATGCTGTGAATTCCTAATGCACCCAAATGTTGTATTTGAAAAGTCCAAGTATGTCATTAATTTGTTTTGGAATAAAGAGGATGATAATAGAAACAGAGGCCTGGATTTTTGGGTTTGGGGGCCCCTGGTTATGTAACACGAGCACCTCGTTGGAAATTCTGTTGACAAGATGGCCAGGCCCTTAATGTTTGTCCTTCTGGCCCCTTTCATGACAGGACTGAGAACTGTCTGGAAAAGTCAGCGTCTCTTCTTCAGTGGTGAGCCCTGCTGCCTGCAGAGAAGCCCTGCTGGTATCTGAAGCCCCCCGGGTATGACAGCAAGGACCTCTACTGAGGCTCTTGCCTTGAGAGCTTGGCCTCAGCATGCCGTGGGAAAAGGATTGTCTTCGAAGAAAGCTACTTGTCTCTGCTTCTGATAACAAAATGCCACAAACTGAGATTTATAAACTGTGAGGAAATTTTTTCCTCACAGTTCTGGGACCAGGAAGTCCAGGATCATGGCGTGGGCAAGTTTGGTGTCAGCTAAGAGCTTGTTCCTCAGGAGAGCACTGTTTGTGTTCTTGCGTGGTGGAAGGGCGAAGGGTCAGAAAGGAGCTAGCTGACTGATCCATTCAAGAAGGGGTAGCCCTCATAATCTGACCATTTCCTGAAGGCAGCCACCTCTAACACTGTTGCATTGGGAGTTTTTTTTTATTTTAATTTTTTGAGTTGGAGTCTCACTCAGTCTCCCAGGCTAGAGGGCAGTGGCACCCTCACGGCCACTGCAGTCTTGACTTGCTGGGCTCAGGCAATCCTTCTGCTTCAGCCTTTCAAGTAACTGCAATTACAGGCACAAGCCACTGTGCCCTGCTAATTTTTCTTGTTTTATTGTAGAGATGAGGTCTTGCCAAGTTGCCCAGGCTGGCCTCGAACCTGTGGGCTCAGGCAATCCAGTACTGGGATTATAGGCATGAGCCACTGCACCTGGCTGGGAGTTTTATTTCAACATGAATTTTGGAGAGACCCACATTTAAACCATAGTGCTGACCACCTGAGTACCTTATGCTGGAGGGCCACACCCATCTCAAGAACCCCCCCTTTGAAGTTGTGCACCAGGGCTGCCATTACACAAGGTTGTGTAACATCATGTGGAGAAGTGTTTTTTTTTGACATGGCTTCTCACTCTGCCACCCAGGCTGGAGTGCAGTAGTATGGTCATAACTCATCACAGCCTTGACCTCCATGGTTCAGGTAATCTTTCTGCTTCAGCCTTCCAAGAAATCGGAACTACAAGCATGCACCTCCACACCCAGCTAATTTTTTGGTTTATTGTAGAGACGAGATCTCACTGTGTTGCCCATGCTGGTCTCGAATACACGGACTCAGGTAGTCCTCTCACCTCCATCTCCCAAAGTGCTGGGATTACAGGTGTGAGCCACTGCGCCCCACCTAGAAGTTATTTTAATCAGATTGCTTTCCAACCTAGTTGTACCTCACTACAGTGGAGAATTGGGCTTTTGAGTGGGGAGCGGGGAAGAAGACTAGGACTCTGGCTGGGTTCTGAGTGGCATCTGCAGGACGGTGGTGTGGGCAGCTGGGAGCAGCCTCGTGATGGGAAGGAGGCTTCCCCTTTCTCAGAGCTTGCACATGTGTGGCCCACGGTGTTTTATTTGATCCATAGTGTTTTTGTCTTTGAATTAAGTTAGTTGCCAACGTTTGAACATGGAGAGGCTTTATATAAAAATTGAGTTTGGGGTTTTGGGTTCTGAATTCTCCTGAAAAAGAAAATCAAAGCTGTCTGTGGCGGACCAAGTCCGGGATGGTGGCCCTCAGCTGGCACGGAAGCGCAGCCACTCCCAGGGTGGCGGGCCCTCAGCCCCCAGGTCTTCCCGCCCTCATATTGTCCCCTCAGCAGCGTACCCGCCCCCCATACCTGCAGCTTCTCTCTGGTGTCTGCCTGTTCCCCCTGCCTTTAATTTTTAGTTTCTTACTCCACCCTAAAGGGAAAGGGTGACGGTCTTCTGTTGCTCTTGGGTGGCTCCCAGTGCCCTCCTTGGGTGTGCTGGGACCTCAGCCGCTGGGACTGGCAAGGAAGGAGGGAGCCAGCAGCGCAGGACGAGAGCAGGAGATGTACAGGCCTGGGAGACACACTAGGTGAGGCCTGGTGATCAACAGAAGAAGCCGTAGGGCCTGCGAGTGGAAGGTACAAAGGGTTCTGGTCGTGGAATGACGCAGCCAGGGGCTAGAGGGAAGGAAGTCAGGAAACAGCCTTTTGAAGAAGGGACTGGCAAAGCTAAGGGGCACCCGGGCTGGTTAGGGCTGGCCTGTAGACCTGGAGGGAGCCGGCGGTCAGAGCTCTGCTGTGTACAGCTACTGCGGTGAGCAAGACAGACCCAGTCCCTGCCTGTGGCCCACTCCGCCTGGAGGCAGATGAGAGAGAAAGGGCAGAGTGATTGTAAACGTGGGGAGGGCTTCAAAAGAAGCAGTTTTGACCCCAGGGGGTTGGGAGACCTAAGCTGACCTGATCAAGACACTCCTGTGCAGAGCTGGGGGTGGCGCTCTGGGCAGAGAATCAAAGGTGCAAAGGCTCAGAGGCAAGAACTTGGCATATCTGAACCAAGAGCAGGCCGATCAGTGAGGGTGTTGTTAGCAAAAAAGACTATCCTTGGACGAGATGGGAGAAGCCAGAACAAGCATGGCTTTTACAGGCTGTGGTAAAGGGGCAAAGACCAATGGCAAATTTTAAGCACCTTGAGGTTTTTTAAAAATTGTTTTTGTTTCTAGAAATAAGGGTCTCACTATGCTGCCCAGGTTGGCCTGAGCTCCTAGGCTCAAGTGATCCTTCTATCTCAGTCTCCTAAGTAGCTGGCACCGCAGGCCCACACCACCACGCTTGGCCAGCTTGAGTTTTATGTTGGATATCATAGTGGCAGGGGCTGTCTGGCCCTCCCCACAGGATGAAGCCTCTGGGAAGGACTCTTGGTCCTCAGCTCCGGAGCAGGGCCACCGAAAGGAATCTGGAAAGCCCGGAGCTGTCACAGAGCTATCTCCTATAATTTACGAAATCTACTGGATCCATCACTCAGGTTATTCACCACAGTGGTGCCTCGGCCTGACCCTCTGAGAAGGACAGGTGCATTGATTTTTAGCGTCCCACAGAGCTGTTCTGAGTCCCCGATGAGCTGTGTGGCCTTCTGCACCCTCTTTCTCTCTCTGGGTCTTAGTTTCCCATCAGTAAACACGGGGATAGAATTTCTGAGGGCTTTGTAAGGATGAGATGAAGTCACACACAAAACACACACTGCAGTACTTGGCATTTAGCGCCGAGTCTGTACTGAGGCAGTTAGTGGGCGCTGTCCTCGGTGGTGCTTCCGGGGTGGTGGTAGCAGGAGCCATTACACAGCTTGGACCGGGTCCAAGTCACTGGTCAGACCCCTTGACTGCCCAGCTCCCTCATTTCCTCCCCAGCACTTCCTGAGGGGCCTGGAGTCCTGGAGCAGCATGAGAGCACCACCTCCCCCACCCTGAGGTCCTCCAGTTGGTCTAGCCCGGCTCCCACTGCAGGGCCTGGGTGCATCATGACCTTCCTCCAGAGGGCTGTCGGGAGCAAATGAAGGGACAGTGGGGATGCCGCTTTGTGAACTTCCAGTTAATACAAACGAGGGATTATCATTAAAATCACATGTCCTCCATTGATTAAAGCATTTCTTCAGGGAAAAAAGTAAGCACTCAGTCTTAAGTAGGCCCCTCTCAGAAGTGGGAGCTCCCACACATCTGCAGGGAGAGATTAATTAAGTCTTTGAGGAGCCGTTAGTGTTGTGGTGAATGGTTGTGGTGAATGGGACAGAGTACCAGAGCTGTAGCTGGGAGGGCTTTTACCTGGAGGGCTTGAAAACCACAAGTAGCAGCAGGCCCCCGCAGCCATTATTTCATTTGGAAAACTAACTGGAAGTGGAGAGAGCCCTGGCTTTTGCTTTTGTTGAGACAGGCGAGGCCAGAGCTGAGCAGGTGGGCCTGGGAGGAAGGAGGGTCCTGCAGGCCCCACGCGCCCACCCAGCAGCCTCCTTTGTTCTTCCTGAGCGGGCTCTCTCTCTGGTTGAAGTCTGTCTTCCATGGCTCGCCTGTTCCTATGGACAGGGCTTTTGTTTCCCATCGTTTTGAGGGACTCCTCAGCCAGGTCACCAGAGCTGCCCCGAGTGCGTTTCCCATGGGGAGAGCAGGTGGCCTGTGCTGTGGAGAGCCCAGAGACCTGGCTGCCCGGCCTCGGGACTTGGGTTGTGCACACCCTTCCCTGGTGACAGCATCCATGTTTGGAAAGCAAAGGGGGGGGGACTGCCGTCTCTGAGTCCCCATCAGCTCTAAGACACGCGTCCTTTGCCCTTTTCATCCAGACACCCCACCATCCAGATTCTCACAGCTGTCATTTTTGTGATGATCAATTTACTTACAGCAAAGTCCATAATTTTTTTTTGTTCTCTTTTTTGAGTCAGAGTCTCACTCTGTTGTCCAGGCTTGAGTGTAGTGGCATGCTCCCGGCTACCACAGCCTCGACCTGCTAGACTCAGGCGATCCTTCCAACTCAGCCTTCCAAGTAGCTGGACCACAGGCGCACACCGCCACACCCAGCTAATTTTTGATTTATTGTAGAGACAAGGTCTTGCCATGTTGCCCAGGCTGATCTCAAACCCGTGGGCTCAGGCAATCCTCTTGCCTCCGCCTCCCAAAGTGCTAGGATTACAGGTGTGAGCCACTGCACCCAGCAGTCCATAAGTCTTAAGTGAACTACTCAATGAATATTTTATATATAACTACACTGGTATAACCACTACCCGTTAAAATATAGAACATCTTGATCACCCCTAAAAGTTCACAGATTTTGATAAGAGGCCTATAGAGGGTAGGTGATGTGTGAGGCTACTTGGGCCCAGACGAAATGATTCATAAATAGAAAAAGTTGGATGATCACTGTTTGGGTGACCTCTGGTTAGCTCCAGTTCTCTGCTTCCCTTTATAGCAAAGTTTCTTTTTAAAAAAGTCTCTACAGGTACTGCCCAGTGGTGACAAGGCAAGCCACATAGATGACTCCACATTTTCTAGTAACCAAGTTAAAAAGTAAAGAAAAAACCAGGTAAAATCAATGTAACCCAATATGTCTAAAATATTATCTTGTAATATGTGATCAATGTAAATAGATGGAGAAGTTTGTGTTCTGTCTTCATATTAAATTTTTGAAATCCAGTGATTATTTTACACTTTCAGCATATCTCAGTCTGTGGTAGCCACTGTGTCTAGTGGCCACGGTGGTGGACAGCCAGGCCTGTACTCACCAGCTCTGATTCCCCTCCTTCCATTTTCTCTTGAACCCACTTGAGTCAGAGTTTGGTTCCACCACTTTACCCATCATGTTCTTGCCAAGGTCATCAGCAGCTTCCACGGTCACTTCTGTGGCCAGTTCCAACAGGCTGAACCCAACAGCAACATATGGCAGGCGGATCACGCTCTCCTTGAAATGTTCTCTCCAGCTGGCTCCAGGATTCCTCTCCAGTGGTGTCCTGTGACCTCACCGCCTGCTCCTTCTCAACCTCCTTTGCTGGTTAGGAGTGCCCCAGGGATCAGTCCCCAGACTTCTCCACTCTCTCTCTATTCTCCCTTGGTGATCTGACCCAGTCCCCTAACCTTAAGATGGTCTAAATGCTGACCACTACCAAACCAAGCCTGCTGTCCAGACCTCTCTCCTAACTCCAGACTTGTACATCCATGGCCAACTCCACATCCTCACTCGTACCTTTGACAGACACCCAGACTCAACACGTCCAAACCACATTCCTATCACTGCCTTCTGCCCCTAAAGCCACTAAGTGGCTCCATCTTGCAATTCCTCAGGCCAAAAACGTGGGAGTCATTTGTGACTTCTCTCCTGTCCTTGTGCAGATGGCTTCCCCCCTAAGAATGTAGCCAGAACTTGCCCCTTTCTCAGAATGACTTTAAATGTAAGCCAGATCATGCCATTCTGCTTAAACTCCATCTTGGCTTCCATCTCACCAAGACTTGGAGCCAAATCCTTCTCAGGTTTTATTAAACAACACGGATGGGAGGTCATTGTTTTGAACTGAGCTCCTGCACTAGGCTTCAGCAGACAGACCAATCAGAATGGGGTCACTAAGTGCCATATAATCAAACTGAACTTTGAAACGATCCAGCTTACTGAAAAATAGGATATTCACAGCACCAATCAGAAGGGCCCAGTTGACCTGAAATGGCATGGCAAGGAAGTCCCCTCTGTGCTAATCCTAGAAAGAAAGTGACTGAATTTCTTCAAACGCTTCTTGCCTAGAAAGCCCACCTCCACTCTGCTCACTGAGCTCTCCTCAGGATGCTGCCTAGTTCATAGGTCTCTAACAAAAGCAAGTTCAAGCCGGGCTCGGTGGCTCAACCTGTAATCCTGCACTTTGGGAGGCTGACGTGAGTGGATTGCCTGAGTCCGCGGATTCGAGACCCGCCTGGGCAACTTGGCGAGACCTCGTCTCTACAATAAATCAAAAAATTAGCCGGGCGTGGTAGCGCGCGCCTGTAATTCCGGCTACTCGGAAGGCTGAGGTGGAAGGATCGCCTGAGCAGCACGTCGAGGCTGTGGTGGCCGGGAGCGAGCCACTGCACTCCAGTCCAACTCAAAATAAATAAATAAATAAATAAAAATAGCAAATGCTTAAACAAACAAACAGAAAAACAAAAGCAAGTTCAATTTCTGCAACTCGAATTGCTAAAATTTTATTTTTAACACCTCCAAGGGTCCCCATGGGCTGGCCTCCTTTTCCTTCCACTCACAGCCTACTCAGTAGCCACCCTGACCTCCTGGCCAGTCCTCCTTCTACACTTCTCCTCAGGGCCTCTGCATTGGGTTTTCACTCTGTCTGGAATGTTCTTTACCCAGATGATCACAAAGCCACCTCCCTCTCTTCCTCAGTCTTTACCCAAATGTCACATGGTCCATGAGATCTTCGTGTCTAGACACCGTAGATATAACCGCAAACTCCAGCGCTCCCGTCCCCCCCAGGACTTTTCCTTGCCACCATCTGCCACATCCATTTACTTGCTCGTACTGTCCTCTCCCCACGTTGGAACAGCAGTTCTACCAGGACAGGGACTTTGACTGCAATAGCACCTGACACACAGTGAGTGCTCTACAGGAATGGGTCAATGACTAAATGGCGTTGTTTACAGAAGAGTGAGTCTCCCGCAGGGGAGGGAGGACTTTAGGGGTAGATGAATCTGGGTAAGGGCCTGGCCCGGGGCTGGCCTGCCTGGGTTTCAGTCCCAGCTCTCATTTGCCACCTGTGACTGTGGGCACTTGGGTTAAACTGTCTGTGCTTCAGTTCCCTGTCTGGAAAATGAGGAGGATGCCAGAACCTGCCATGAGGCTGCGTAGAGGTACTGGGATGCTCTGTGTGAAGCCGCCTGGCTGGACTCTGTGAACATGGTCAGTGGAAGTATTTTAAAAGTAGACTTTGTAGCCAGGCTCAGTGGCTCAGCCTATAATCCCGCATCTTTGGGAGGCTGAGGTGAGTGGATTGCCTGAGCCCACAGGCTCGAGACCCGCCCGGGCAGCGAGACCTCATCTCTACAATAAATCAAAAAATCAGCCGGGCGTAGTAGCGTATGCCTGTAATTTCGGCTCCTCGGAAGGCTGATGCAGAAGGATCACCGGAGCCCAGCAGGTGGAGGCTGTGGTGGCCGGGAGCGGCCACTGCACTCCAGTCTGGGCGACAGTGTGAGACTCCAACTCAAAAAAAAAAAAGTAGACTTTATAGGGCCACTTTGGGAATTATAACTATGTAAAACACATAAACAAGTAGACTGAAGACAAAATAAGATGTAAATGCAGACCAGTATGGGGACATTTTATTGTATTTACAAAGGAAAAAGCTGGTCAGAAATGAAAGAGGAGGAGCTGGATCCAGTTGTGGCTACAGGTAGCCTGAACCATGGGAGGAGTCTTCATCCTTGGGAGTTCCTGTTGCAGAAAAAAAGATGGCACTCAACTGAGGGCTGCAGTGAGGCTGACGGTGGGGACACCTGTAGCCAGGTGACAGGAGCTCCCACGCAGGAGTTAGCCATTTGGATCCCAAAAGAGGCGGGGTGGGGGGAGGCTGCTCACTCATGCCAGAAAGTGAATCCCAGGCTCAGTCAACTGGCTGCCATCAAGACCCAGGGCTACCACCTCCCCTTGAAGACATCGCCTCTAGTCCCCAGCCAGGCTCAGCTGCCTCCCAGCTCCTTCGCCACACCGCTCTGTATCTTCCCACCAATACACATTCAGTAATAGACTAGACCAGAGCGTGCTTAGTTCGTGGCTGCCTCTGTGCCTTACGAATTCTATGAGAGCAGGGACCCCACTGTCCTGTTCCTGCTATATACTGGCCCAGCCTCTGGCCCATCACAGTCACTGGGTGGTCTTTAGAGGGGCAAGGGACTGGCCAAATCTGAAGCTCGGTTTCCTTATGGGGCTGTTAGGTGGACACAAGGAATCATGGGTGCAAAAGCATGCCCGCGGTCTTGTTGTTCCGCTTTGCACCTAAAGGCCTAAGAACTCATTCTGATTTTGTGTACTCTCCCACCCACTGGTGACATCCTGGTATTTGCAGCAGTTGAGCTGGAGGGGAACAATGGCTAGAGCCATCTCCAGGGCCCTTCCTGCAAACCTGTGCTCTCTATGGCTTCGAGCCGAGACTCTGGCCTTTAATGGCAGGAACAAAGCCCACATTCTTAGGGCTGCTCTTCCTTGGAGCCATCAGCCTACAGCCTGGTGGGACCCACAGCAGGTGAGTGATTCCCTAATCTCAGTGTGACAGACACAGAGGCATCTTCTGAAAGACATCATCTTAGAATGCCAGCCTTGGGCACCTTAAAGGCGGTCAAAGCTGACCCCTCGTTCCCTAGAGGGTAAACTCAGGAAGGCCAGTGTCCATCCTGCCTCTGGCCTGGTTCTGGTTCTCGTCCCCCCTCCCTACCCTCCCACTCCGGCCATCTGCTGCAGGCCTGCGCTGTTTGTGTCTCTACGGGGCTGTGGGCGGTGAGCTCTCGGGGCTTGTGGTGTCTGATTGGGGTGGAAAAAAGTGAGTGAGCACAGCGAGAGCTCCTCCAGGACCTGGATTACTTGCTTATTACGCTGGCCCGGAAGTGCCAGACAGTCATGCTGAGACAAGCTTGTGCTTACAATTTAAGATTAGGCTCTAAAGTTCAGCAGAGTTTCTCCGAACAGTTGTGTCATCCTCGGGAAACTGTCCATGAAGTGGAGTTTTGTGTCAAGTTCCAGGGAAGCAAAGCAGGTCTTGGGCCTGCCAGGCCCTACCTTGGGTCCAGCTGCTGCCCCTGCCCTGCCTTGCTTTGTGTCTCCTGTAAAATGGGAAAGTTCAACTCTGGTCTCTCCAGCGGGAGTCTCAGTGGGAATGTGAGGGCCGGTGAGATGGGTGATGACGGCCGTCACTGCCTCGCCACTGATGACGATGCGTCTGTGCACACTGGTCTACCACAGGGTGTGGCAGGGCTGTAAACTGGACCAGGGATCCCGGGCAAGCCTCTCGAAGCACCTTGCATCAGGATCTTCCAGGATACTTGCTAGATTCAGATTTCCTGATCCTGTCCCGGAACGACTGTGTGAGTGACGCTGGGCCTGGGCTTTGCCTACAGCCTGGAGATAGAGCTGTGGACAAGACGTGGTGCCTGTCAGACATCTTCTCCTTTCCCCTGTTCTTACTGTGTGTCAGAGGGAACCCTGTGCTCCATTTTCTTGACACCCTTGGAGAGGAGGAGAATCTCTCCTTTTCTTGGAAACCTACAGGAAGGAAGTCCTGAGGCCCACCCTGCAATACATCCCTACCTGTGTTTCTGCAGCAGGGCCACCAGGACGCTCTCCAATGCCACTTGCTTTTGTTCTGCCCACATGCTGTCTACCTGCCGGCCAAGCCGAACCTTTGCTCCTTGCTCCTGGTTTCCCTCTCTATACCATTGGAAAAAGAGAACAGCTCAGGTTGCTATTTAGGCAGGATGTAGAGAGACAGGGATGTATCCCTCTGCCTATTCCAGTGTCTGGTGTGGACTCTTCCACTCAACTTAATTAGATTCAGCAACATTTAGGTAGGCAGAATATACATAGTAAAGAATACAGCAGTACAAGTATACACAGTTGCAAAATGTCTCCTACAGTTGATTAATACTAAGGGGAAAATATTAACTTTGCAGAGGCGAAAACTGGCAGACACCATGGTAACCAAGAGATCAAGTTCACCATCCACCAGGAATCCACCAACAGTGGGCCAGCTGCCATCCTGTGCCTCCTGATACCATGCACTGAGAAGAACACAGTCTCATGGCTATGAATGCATAACCTGAATCTAACCATGAGGACATGTCCAACAGATTCAATATGAGGGCATTCTACAATACAAATCATTGTCCTTTACTAATAGAAAAAATCAATGTCATGAAACACTATTCCAGATGAAAAGAAACTAAAGAGACATGACGACTAAATGGAACCCATAGCCCTGGATTGGATCCTGGTCAGAAAAATAAATAACTGTTATAAAAGACATTTTGAGACAACTGGTAAAATTTGAATGTGGGTTTTAAGTGATAATTATGCTGTGATTATACAAGGAGATATCCTCTAGTTAGGTGTGAGAAGTCACATCAGAAGTACCCAAAGGTAGCCAGGCTCGGTGGCTCAACCTGTAGTCCCACGCTTTGGGAGGCTGGGGTGAGTGGATTGCCTGACT